TAAAAAGAATGAATCAGATGAAAGAAAAAGAAAAAAAGGAGAATATAATTGTCTATATATATGAAAGGGGGAATTACGGTGTCGGAGATGAGGAGGATGAGCCGAGGTGCAACCGCAAGTGGACGGACAATAGTTACGATGGAGAACGGAAGTGAAAGGACGAGATAGCTGGCTACTATGGCGATGGATATCACAAAGAACCTTCAAAAAATATTTACATTAGTCACTAACCGGACAAGTTCAAAATATATAGCCGTACATTAATTAATTTACAAGTAACACGAGTTTATATATTCGATTTCAGAAGAAACTATACCATAGTTAGAGATATAATATATATAGGAATTTATTATGTGTAACATTATATATACTAGTAACCATATGTTAAAGTAACTTACTGAAAAGTGGGGAAGTCATCGTAGCCGGCTTGGAACTGTAAGAACTGAGTGAAGAAGGGAAGAGTCTCCTCAGCGGTGAACATGACAGAGGAAGCCCCGATGGTGATTCCTATGGCCGCCAAACGGAGGAGGAAATCAAATATGGCCAAACCTCTCTTATAGCCACCTCCTGCGGCTGCTGCCACAAATCCCTTCTTCTTCTTCTCGTCCACTACGACATGACTTGCACTTTTGGTCACAGTGCTGGGTTCACCGACGTCAATGGTGGTGGATTCTTTCGCCATTCTCTCTTGCAATAGGGATTTAAAGAAAGAAGTTTGTTGTTTGTGTATTGAAATGTTTTGTACTTGTGATGGGAAACTAATGGGAGATATCAAGGGTTTATATAGTGCTATGTATTGAGTAATATATGTTATAGATAATTAGTAGTTTTTTTTGTGATGAGCTTTCATCAAGAAAAATAATAAATATTGAGTTTAGTTGATTAGTTAGAGTCTCGGACGAGGAGTTGTTAGTTTCTTACTTCCTCCACATACCACATAATTGGTTTTGAGCTAATACTTCCAGACAAAAGAAAGCTACTATCTCATATGTAAACTAATGAAGTTGGCATCCGTACGCAGGTCAAAAAGCCTACTAACGTGTGATTTATGCTCAGTATTCCATGTCAACTGTACAACCGAGCTTTGTTAATTGAAGGACTAAAAATATACTTTCAGATTAGTTGGTTAATTTCAACGAGGCACAGATCCTCCGTATGCTACTAATGTGCATGGTCTTGATCATTCCTTAATTATGTTAAAAATCAATTTGCCATTTTCTTAAGGATCGAGTATTGTGGGACTGTGATGTGGACCATAATTGACATCAGCATTACTACCATGTATCATATATGCATGTCCGTTAGCTCGTCAAGTCCAGTCCAGCCCCCCCAAAAAAAAAAAATTGAATAAAAGATATGTTAGAGTTGTGATACGGTTGGATTAACTGGATCTACGATGTAATGATTAGTGGAATTTTAAAAATATATTGGTTATAGAAGAAAAGATACTCTAGAAACCAAACCCATATGAACCATTGCTGATATTAATCCAGATTCAACTAAATATTATGCAAAATTCTAGAGTAAAAAAATCATTGTCCCAAAAATGTTGTTTTTGTGGAGCATTGGGTTCGGTCCTTCATTTTGGTTTGTAAATGTATAAGTTCTTGCACTTTATATAAGTGTGCGTTTCTATATCTTTCATGATAATCATAAGGCTAAACCCATATGTCAAAAGTTTAGGATAATAATAAAAGAAGGCACTCACGAAAGAAAGTGAAATGGTTGGGTCCACTTTCATATGAACAAAACTAAACACTTTTTTATTGCGGCTAACCCTTTCACATTCGAATGGACACTTCGGTTTAATTCAGGTTAGGTTGTTTGATTAACTCAGCTTTAACATTGATTTGGTTCGGTTCAATTCAGATATAGTTTTGGTTCGATTGCATTGCATGTCTCTCATATTTTACATGTGCTAATTTAGTATTAGTAAAATATTGAAGGGATCTGGTTGGTAAATTAATGTTTAATATTAAGTGGTACATCAAAATCTTCGTATTTCTTAAAGTTTATAGCCAATAAACCAAAGCTAGTTTTACAATATTGAATACAAATAGAGAGTACGGAGTCCAATAGGCAATAACTAAGCAAAATGCAAAACACCATTAACTAGTATTCTTATTTTGTTGTTGCTAGGATTATTAGAACACCTCCAATAAGAGGTTCTTACAGCAATGCCGTAAGAGACGGATTCTTAGATTTCATTAAGAATTCTATCATAAGAATTTTTCATTGAAGATAGTCTTAGACCATGTTTATTGAAGGGTATATAGATGAGTTCTTAGTTTCGGTTAAAATACGTTTTTTAATTTTTAACTACAAAAATTAAAAACCAGTTCTTAAATAAAAGATATTAAAAACCATCTCTTAGTAAAAAAAAAAGGTTAAATCATGAATTAATAACACTATCCTAAGAGCTCCCACAATAAACATACCTTTAACTAGGAATTTAAATGTTAAATTTACTATTTGATAAAAAAATATGTTAAATATACTCAGGAGTATATAATATCTGATGACATATGCGACTAATCTACCTTTTCAGTTCAACCCGACTCGATTCGTATTTATAACCACCACAGAACTAAATTTAACCAATTTTGTTTGGTAATTAACTATTCAGATATCTTCTATCAAATACCAATATATTGAGGATTAGATTATTTACCTCAACTACTGCTTGTAGTGCAAAATACATAAAAAACAAAAAGATTAATATTAATAAACATGGTTAGTTTATTATATGATTGTGAATAAGGTTATTGTGATGAAACCTATAAATTTGTTCTTATGTTTTAAAACTTTCTTAGTATATAGAATTACATGTGATTGTAAAGTATTTTCACTAGTGTTGCTATTTGCTGGATGCACACTTCATTGGCATTGCCAACCCACTAATGATAATTTCACATGGCCTTTTATTCTGATAAAAAAAATATTTTTGTAAAGTTTCTTAATAATTAAAAAAACATATAGATATTCATTTAAATTTTTCAATATATAATGTAAATTATTTGTTGATTTTTAGTTTCGTTGGTAAAAAAGCTTACCAACTGTTATTATATAATGGCAGTATATGCAGTTGATATAATGTTGTTGAAGCGAAAAGATAAACAACTCACGTGATTAATTTGTTCAATTTAAGAAACTCTAAAGAGATGAATCTTTTTAAATTCGCTTGAGAGAGCGTCGATTGGCCTCCGGAAGATAAGCATCTAGGGAAGGATTATTTTTCTGGGTTTTATGAACTGATCAAGGCATGCTCTTACAATGTCAGCAGAGAAATGAAATCACAAGGTGACACTAGAATTTTGACTCTTTAGTAGCAGGGAAGAACTTTGACTCTTCATTAGAAATGAACTCACAAGGTATCAGTAATCTAATTAGGTCACTGAACGTTTATATATTTATCGCGTTAAACTATACAAGAGCTCATATATTTGTATTGTTATTACGGTATGCAAGGATGAATAGAAACGGAAGGAGTAAACACATATTAATATATACATGCTACAATAACGTTGTGTTGGCTACGTCTATGCTAAAAACGCTATTAGTTATTACTGAATGCCAACAACAAATTATTGACTAAATAACTCACCCATATATAACCTAACTTTGTTCGAAAGACTAGACCCTGCAAGAAAACAGAAGCTGGAACTTAATTAACAAAGATCTCGTGAGCATCTAAGGTGTGATCACACTCAAACATATTAAATATATACGTTTATGCAACGTTTTATTGCCTTGCCAAACATTAGAGGAGCCACTAATAAACACAAGTTGCGAGGAATTGATTTTAAATTTTTCAAAGTTAGTGTAGACATAGGATCGAGTCAGATATCCATAAAGAACAATATGATAATATGTAGATATTAGGTCTGATTCATTATACTTGATTATATAAGTATCATTATGCAATGTGGGAGACACCAAAAATACACACTAGTGGCACTACGTACTTAGTGCTAAGTGAATCTGAAATTATTAGTGTTCGATATGTGATAAACCCTTAGGTAATGAATGAATGTGGATAGAAGTACATATCATGGCTATCGCACATCGAAGGTGTCATTAATGTCATTTTCAAACTTTCTTATGACTTTAATTCATTGATGATCGAAAAATATGTTACTATGGCTTATTATATGATGCCACATTCCACTAATTAATACTCTAGGTGTAGAATCTATTAGGGACAAATGTCTCACATCGGTTATTGGAAGGAATATCTAGAAATATATAAGATAGATGGGTCACTCCACTTATTACCAATTGGTTTTAAATTGGAAGCCCATCTAGCTTAATATGGTATCAGAGCCCACGATCCACGCAATCCAACCCGATCCTTATCGATCCAGCCAAAAGTCGGCCCATCAATCCTTACCCAAACATACCGAGATTGATGCCAAAGAGTCATCATCTCGATGGGGCGTATTAGGGACAAATGTCTCACATCGGCTGTTGGAAGAGATATCTAGAAATATATAAGATAGATGGACCACTCCACTTATTACCAATTGGTTTTAAATTGGAAGTCCATCTAGCTTAATAGAATCTGAGTGCTCAGAGTGCTTTCTAAACTGATAAGAGACTGTAAATGAACGAACAATCGAATAAATAATGAATGAGAATGTATATACCGATAAACAATACTAGTTTTTGTATGAACGTCTTAAAACAAACATTTCACTCTTCTGTTCCCAGTGTAGATTTTACGCCCTCATTTATATCTTAAATATTGGTGATCTACCATATGATTAATTGATTATATACTTACACAAAAGAATTATTTATAATGAGACAACAACATGCATCAAAGCAAAAAAAAAAAATCATAGATACACAAGATGGAATTGATAGGTGAGGTTTGGGGCCCAACAACTGAACATTAGGATATCTTATCCTATGTGCAATCAACGCGGTTGGGTCTGGTGAAATGCCTATAAATACGGACATATTCTCAAGCAAACTCATCACACAACAAAGAGTGAAACATGGCTAATCAGAAAAATATTTTCTTCTTATGTTTCCTAATAGGTTTAGGGTTATGTTCTGCAAGACGAGCACTTCTCTCCTCCTATGAACCCGAGGATGAAGTCGCTGGCTATGGAGACAAGAGTAGTTTGCATGTCGGTTATGGTGTTGGAGTTGATGTTGGTGGTGGTGTTGGTGGTGGCGGTGGAGAAGGAGGTGGTGCTGGTTACGGTGGAGCTGGCGGCATTGGTGGAGGCGGAGGTGGTGGACATGGTGGTGGTGCTGGCGGAGGTGGTGGTGGTGGTCCTGGAGGAGGATCTGGTTATGGAGGTGGAAGTGGTGAAGGTGGTGGAGCTGGATATGGAGGCGGAGGAGCTGGGGGACATGGTGGAGGTGGAGGAAGCGGAGGAGGTGGTGGTGGAGGATCTGGCGGTGCACATGGTGGTGGATACGGTGGTGGAGAAGGTGCTGGTGCTGGAGGAGGATATGGAGGTGGTGGTGCAGGTGGACATGGGGCCGGAGGTGGTGGAGGCGGTGGAACTGGAGGTGGTGGAGGAGGTGGCGGTGCACATGGTGGTGGATACGGTGGTGGAGAAGGCGCTGGTGCTGGAGGAGGATATGGAGGTGGCGGTGCAGGTGGACATGGAGGTGGTGGAGGCGGTGGAAAAGGAGGTGGTGGAGGAGGAGGTTCTGGCGCTGGTGGAGCTCACGGTGGTGGTTACGGTGCAGGAGGTGGAGCTGGAGAGGGATATGGTGGTGGTGGTGGTGAAGGAGGACATGGTGGTGGAGGAGGCGGTGGTGGTGGAGCTGGAGGTGGCGGAGGAGGAGGTGGAGGTTATGCAGCTGCTGGATCTGGACACGGTGGTGGTGCTGGTAGCGGAGAAGGCGGTGGTGGTTATTAAACGTGAAATTATATCTATGTGGAGCGTAAGAGCCATTGAGTGAAGTGTCACATAACTCGCAAGAGACTATATCAATATATATGTGGTAATAAGTACGCTAATTCTCTGTATAATAAGCCCTAAAAACGGCTATTGTTGAAGCTTTTAATTGTACCAATGTTGTATGCTGCTTCGTGTGTGTCAAGTTTATAAAATGAAGATATCACAAGTGTTCCTACTTTTATTTTGCTAATGTATATGAAGATATCAATGAGACGTGCATGGTGAGGATTTACTATGAGTTGTATATATGTTTGTCATGTTCCTATTTTCATTTTACGTACCAGTCCATGAAGATATTATTAAGACCCTAGGCCCGATCTAGTAAACTCCTACCCAGTAAGAAGCGTGCATGGCATGGATTTACTATGAGTTGTGTATTCGTCCTGTGAGAAATGTAAGGCGAATGAATATAAAGGAAGGTTTGAGATGTTTAAAGGAGATTGATACGGTAAGCCTGTTTAAAGCTTATATGAGGAATTTTCACTCCCGGTTCAACTATGTGGGTGAGATTGCTGCGAAAATATTTGATTCGTAGAGGAATTATCCGGTCGATAAGACGATAAGGGAGACAAAGCAAACAAATGCATGGATTACACTGCAGAGAGATCATAAAGATGAGATCATTAGCAAAATCCTTTTCATAAGATTTGACAATCAAAGAGGAAATAATACACCATTCTGGCATAACGTGTGGTCTAATTTGAGGGGACTCTAACATGATGGGAAAAAATGTCATATAGATGTGAGAATTCCAGAATGTGCCATTATAGAGGAATGAATTCAAAGATTTGGAAGAGGAATATATTAATTGTAGAGGTGAGCTGAATAGTTTGGAAGATGTCATCAAGAACCAAAAACTACAAATGGAGAGAAAATGAGTATATGATATAGCGCTATGGAAAAGGTTTTAAAAATTCAAATACAATTTTTCCTCATGTAGAAACTCCCAACACACATGGAATCAGATTATATTCCAAGAGGAACGTCAAAATAGTATTTTCCCTCATGTAGAAACTTTCAAAATATTTCATATTATCTAGACATAATTGATTTCTCAATTGTATGTTTTTATGTAACTGTGTGTTTTTTATGGTTTCTACTTCTATATGTTCTTTTTCAAAATAATTATCAAAAAGGTGTGAATTATGTTTAACAAAGTATCTTCTTTTAAGAAAGATACTAAAGATTTCACAAGAAAAATACTACCATTTTTATGAAGAAAATATTACTATATATTATTTTCATTTTTCAAACAAATTCAGATATAAATAAAAAAAACCTAAATTATGATACATTTTGATCAATGTTCCCCATGACCCATTGTGGGGGTAATAAGTGAGACTAAAAAGTTCATAAAAAATTTAAAACGATAATGGACTTGCAATTAGGCCCAATTGCTCTGGGAATCTCGGGTCGTAACCCATGATTAAGAAAGAATCAGATCCGACCCGACAAGAACATTAAAAAGAGTAAAGTTAAACGTCGGTTCCTGACGAGTCGCTACTCTCTCTCCGAAAAAAATGACGGCGAGACCTGAAGGAAGTCCGCCGGAGGTTACACTAGAAACCTCCATGGGTCCGTTCACCGTCGAGGTTTCTCTCTCTCTCTCTCTCTCTCTCTTACTCACATTTCTCTCACACTTGAGATCTAGAATTAGGGTTTTAAAAGGGGTTTAGGGTTTACAGTGATTTTGATTTTGAATTTTTACTTCAGATGTATTACAAACACTCACCGAGAACTTGCCGGAACTTCGTGGAGCTATCACGGAGAGGTTACTATGACAACGTTCTCTTCCACAGAATCATCAAGGTCTCTTTTTTTTTTTTTTTTTCTAATTTTGAGTTTTTTGTTTTTTCCTTTGAGAATTCACTGTGATGATGATGAAAGTTTGTTGCTTTGGTATTGATTTTGTTTCAGGATTTCATTGTGCAAGGTGGTGATCCTACTGGAACTGGAAGGGGTGGCCAATCCATTTATGGGTATATTCTCTTTAAAGATAGTTTTTTCTTTGATTGATTCCATGAATGTGTTTGTAAAAAGTAGCTTCATTAGGGTTTTAGATTGATACACTCAAGACTGGCAGAGATTTTGTATTTGGGATGAAAAAACGTTATTTAATAACTTCTGAACATGTTTATTTATACTCTCGATTAACTAGCACAAGATTCTTTAGATATCTCAACTTGGTTGACATTGCTCAGTTTACTCTATTGATATTCGGCTTCATTCTTGTTGTAGAGGCTTGGGAACTACTTTCTAAGTTTAAAGATATTTACATGTCTTATGTATTTGATAGTGCCAAGTTTGAGGACGAGATAAAGCCGGAGTTGAAGCACACGGGAGCTGGGATTTTGTCAATGGCAAACGCTGGTCCCAACACAAATGGGAGCCAGTTCTTCATCACTTTAGCACCAGCACCCTCCTTGGATGGTAAGCACATCCATCTCTAGAAGAAACAAGGGTTTTTGTTTTGCTATGATGTTTTGGAGGATGTTATGAAGAGAAATGTCACTTAATATTGATCTCTCTATGTTTCATCTTCCAGGAAAGCATACGATATTTGGCAGAGTCTGCCGTGGTATGGAGGTGATCAAGAGGCTCGGTAGTGTCCAAACCGATAACACCGACAGGCCAATCCATGAAGTGAAGATTCTGAGGACCAAAGTGATTGATTAGAAGCAGCATTAGTAAACGATGTTGACATGAAGAATTATAACTCTGTTCTGTGATCAGTGCTACTACAATGGGACATGAAGAATTATAACTCTGTTCTGATTCTTGCTACTACAATGGACTGGTTTTTGTCAAGTTTGATTTAAATCAGTTCATTATCTCTGTTTTTTGTAATATGGATCGTTTCTGTTGAAAATCATCTTATCCTAATTTCTCTATGCAGTATGGGATTGATTTCATCATACATTTGCACAAATAATCGAATATAATAACAAAAATGCTTGCCGGTGAAGAACTGAAGAAGCGTTTTTCTGGGCACTCTTCTTTTTTGTATTAATCTATTGAATGTTAGAGCATACAAAGCTGGAATAGCTCAGTTGGTTAGAGCGTGTGGCTGTTAACCACAAGGTCGGAGGTTCGACCCCTCCTTCTAGCGGTGATCTTTTTTTCGAATACGGCTGGTTAAGTTTTGTATGTGAGTTGTAATGATACGACAATAATCAGGTGACAGTTTGGCCGAGTGGTCTAAGGCGCCAGATTTAGGCTCTGGTCCGAAAGGGCGTGGGTTCAAATCCCACAGCTGTCATCCCTTTTTTAATTTATAAACTCATGAAACGACGTAGTTACTTTACGCAACAACAAACAATTGTCAAGTACACTCAGCCCAAGAGTTACGATTCAGCCCAAAACATATATCGAAACCCTAAACGAAAGAGGCTCACCCAGAAACCCTAATTATAAAAATCAATTTATTTTTTCATCCTGCATCCTCTTCCTCTCTAACCCAAGGCCGAAACTACAGAAGCAAGAAGTGACATTACTCTGATCTTTAACAATGGTAAGCTTCGTCTTTGTAAAGCATCACCATTTCTTTGATTATACTACATGTTAAGGTCTTCGTTATCTGGGCTTTGTATTGGTTAAGCATGAGATTTGCTTTGATCTTATCATGTTTATAATCAAACTCAGACTGAATAAACGTAATGAATGTTTAAGTGTTTATGTTTGTATAGTCGAGGAGAAAGACAAGAGAGCCAAAGGAGGAGACAGTGACACTTGGACCAGCTGTTCGTGATGGAGAGCAAGTCTTTGGTGTTGTCCACATCTTCGCTTCCTTCAACGACACTTTCATTGTCTGTTATTTTCTCACCAACTTATCTATAGAATAATCCAAATTCCATTTATGTATGTGGGAAGCTTACATTGCATCTGATTCGTTTTGCAGCACGTTACTGATTTGTCTGGACGTGAAACCCTTGTTCGTATCACTGGTGAGCATCCCTTGATCCATCTCTAATAAAATTGCCACTCTTTAATATTATGAGAAGATAGATATTATTGTCCTCATTTTCTTTTAGTTGGTGTGTGATGGAATGTTACTTAGTCTCTCAACTTCTCTAGAGTTTTGATATAGCACCCTTCGGTTCTTTTTGTAAATACACAACTAGGAAACTAAATGGCTAGTTTATTTTTTTTTTGATCGGTTTAGGTGGGATGAAGGTGAAAGCTGACAGAGATGAGTCATCACCTTACGCAGCTATGCTTGCTGCGCAAGATGTTGCTCAGAGATGCAAGGAGCTTGGAATCACAGCTATGCATGTGAAGCTCCGTGCCACTGGTGGAAACAAGACCAAGACACCTGGTCCTGGTGCTCAATCCGCTCTTAGAGCTCTTGCCCGTTCCGGCATGAAAATTGGACGCATTGGTATGTTTCGTACGTTAATTTAAATCTCAATCAAGACTTTGTTCAATGTGTCTTGATTTTTGAGCATTTCTATATGTAATACTTGTTGCAGAGGATGTTACTCCAGTCCCTACGGACAGTACTCGCCGAAAGGGTGGTAGAAGAGGAAGGAGGCTCTGAGTTTTCTTCTATGGCTATTTAAGCTCATGTGTTTCATTTTTTCTTGAACCATTTTTTTCAGTTTTGTGAGCGAGTTTGGAAGTTGAATGCTTTTGTTAAATCTAAACAACATTTTTATACTATTATTAGTCTCAATTGCCATTATGAATGACGTATTCAGTATCCAAAAATACACTGAAATCTATAATTATATCCTGTTTGTTTAAATTCATCATCTCTGCTGGTAGGAACATGCGTCTAGACTATCAGTATAAGACTCTGATTGTTCCAAATTTCAAACCGTTAAGACTTAAAAGAGTTCCACATCAAACTTTCTTCAATAAAACTTGAGCAATGAATAATGTACTACATACATCATCTCCTGTGCAATATCTGCAAACAAAAATTTCACTTGTATGCATGCACATTCTCTAAGCAAAGA